CAAGCCTATTCCCTGTCTCTTGTATCATGGCTTTAGCCCCCTGCACCTTGTTGTGTCCTTCTGTGAAACGGGCTGAATTCCTCCTGGAAGATTGGAACACTGTGGGAGGATGGGAACTGTAAATACAGACATGATCATTATAATACTAATCACAATATTTATGATCGTAAATGGGGTCACAGCTGACCGGAATAAAAGGAGAGAGGTGAGCCTGCAGGGGTGCCGCCTGCTGTGTCTCCAGAACCCGGCAGTCAGGTACGCAGTTGGTGCTCAATAGGTGTTTGCCAAACAAAGCAACAAAGGGAGGGGACCAGTGCAGTGGACTGAAAAATTCCTAAGCTCTACAGCTCAGTTGCTCTGTGACATGGAGCATGTGCCTCAGTTTCCCCAATGGGGTGATGGCCAAGTTGAAACACTGTCCCAAAGTGCTGTTAAGAGAATCAAGCCAGATTGTGTAAATGGTCACAGCCCTGGCGGCCAGGCCTAGGGGAAGGAAGCACATGACAGAGCTGACCATTGAAACAGCACGGCCAAGAGGCCAGTCCCCGAGGAAGCAAAAACTCCAACCTGGCCCTACTGTGCAAAATCAGGGGTCCAAGGGAAGCAAAAGGTCAGATCTTGTTTCCTAGGCCCCTGGAAACCTAGAGAGGTCAGGGGAGGCCCCAGGTCACACAGCAGGAGAGCAGCGGCTTGGGACAGCCAGCAGAGGCCCTGATTTCTTTGCTGATGCGGTTCCTGCTATGCTTTGCCTGCCCACAGGTTCCGTAGACCAGACGCAGAGCCTGGTTTTTGGGAATTGGTGCTGGGGAGGCAGGATCTCTAGATGGGGCCTGGGTCTTGTGTCCAACACCCCCAGAGGACTCTGTTCCTGCTTCCTGCAGCCAGAGGGTGGGGGAGTCTGTATCAGCTGGCAATCAGCTGTGTGCCACTGGGCAAGTCCCTGTCCATCTCTGGGCTTTGCCCTGTGGAGGCCCCAAGACTGGGGTTCAAACAGGGCTGACTTCCCCATCAGAGGCAAAGACCACTGTGTCTTGAGCATAATACTTTTAGAGGTCCATGAAGATGTTTTAATTTCTTTTAAGATCAGAAGGAAAAAAAGAGTTTGGGAGTCACAGAAAACATTTTAATATATGGTATTAATATACTCACCTCTATGGCAATGCAGTTGAAAACATAGTTTAAATTCTTTTCTTTCGTGGAGGAAGGAACCCAGGGAAGCAAAAGTACCGCGGCCTGTAGAAGTCCTAATGCGGGCCTGGGTTCATGTCTAACTGCTGCCATTCACTGACTGTGCAACCCTGGCTGTGTAGAGTCCCCTTCTGAGCCTCAGTTTCCACCTCTGTAGAAACAAGCATGATTAGCCCACCTCACAATGGTGAGATGTTGAATGCTTAGCCCAAGGTTGGCACTTAATCTGTGGGTGCTATTGTATTACAATTGTTGTCATGATTATTACTGGTTGGATAATAATAGCCCCAGACTAGGGGCCCCAGGTTCAGGGGCCTCAGTTTACCCATGCATGGCCTGCATGGTTCCAGAAAGGTCTCAGGGGTGCTAGTCTGGCAAGGGAGGGGAGGTGGCGGTTGGGCAGTGGGCGGGGCAGGGTGAGCTTCCTGTCCCCCACGTACACAGGCCTCCACTCGGTGCTCACGGAAGTGGCAGGGGCCGCGTGGCTACCTCCTGGTGCCTTCCCTGTCTGACAGGGCCTCCCATCCCCACTTGCTGCCCTGTTCGGTGAGTTCCAGCCCTGCCAGGAGGCCTTCTCCTCGGCCCCCCAACCCAGGAACAGAAGGAAGGCCCCTCTGCCCGGCTGGGTTCAGGAGAAATAGCAGGTGTCACTTCCTGGGCTGGGCAGGGGCCTGTGGGGGGTGCCACCTTTCACTCTGCCACCCTAACTGTCATTACAGTTATGAGTGGTGGGGCAAGCTGTTGGGGGCAGAGGGGACATGGAGACCCAGAGCCTCATATGGTGGTTCTGAATGGGAGTTCTTTGGCACACAGGCCAAGAACAGAATCAGTGACCAGAAGATAGTGAGTGACCTCTCTGTGCCTCAGTTTCTTCATCTGTAAGTTGGGATTGAGCCCCATGCTATGGTTGTGAAGGATGAATGAACTAGTACCTGTGACGGGTGGGACACGGTGCCACACACACATACTGGCGCTCCATGTATGTGGCAGGGGGAGGGGCAATCTCATCGGAGTTGTAAAAAGAGTAGTGAGATTCTTAGTTTCTGGGGAACTTGGGCCTGCTGGCTCCCAGGATCCCCTGTCCTCTAGAGCAGCACAGAACTTTCTCTATCTCTGCTGTCTAATATGGTGACCACCAGCCCCAAGGGGCTACTGAGTCCTGGAAGCAAGGCTGGCATAACTGAAGAACTGGGGTTTTAACTGTTTGATTTTACTTAGCTTAAAATGAGGTTGCCACCTGGGACTAGTGGTTCCCATATCAGTTAGTGCAGCCTTAAGGGATTTGGAGATGCTCAGGGTCTAGGTCATGGCCAGAAACTGAGAAATGAGATGGGAATTTAGGGCTCTTCATCCTTGGGATCTCAGCCAAGCATGCCCTCCCCGAGACTGGGTTTCCTCAGGGCCTGCACTGGCAACTGAAGTTTCTCAGGGGCCCCAGCATTACCCATCAAGAGGGGTGGTTGGGAATGTTTCTTGAATCAAAATTTTTTTTTTTTTGCCTGGTGAACTCCTATTCATGCTTTAAAACCCCAAGCCCCATACCTGTCCTTCAGTACAGGCTCCCCTAGTTCTTGTTTCCCTATTTCATCCAACTCTGACCCTGCAGAAATGGGATATCTATCCAGCTCTATTCCCCTAGACTAGAGGCTCCTCAGGGCCCATGGCCAAGTCTCCATTTCTTCATCTGTAAGTTGGGATTGAGCCCCACGCTGTGATTGTGAAGGATCATCTCATGGACCCTGGCATTGTCCTGGCCTCATGGGCAAATGGTGGATGCTAGGTGACTTACAGAAGTCAAGGAATTGGGGGATAGATGGTAATGGGTCAAATTAAAGTCACTTTCAAGATTAGATAAACTGAGGCTCAGTGAGGGGTACCCTTTTCCAAGGTCCTCGCTTGGTCCTTTCCCAGTGAAGCCCAGGGAGTTTCCCAATCCTGCAAGCACCAGCCCTGCCACTGCTGCCACTGTAATTCCTGGGCACCTGGCTGCTGCTGAGCTGCCCGCGGGGTCATGAATTATGGATGAGGCCTGCCGGTTCCTGTGACAAGCCCAGTCTTCAGAACGTGCCAAGGACACCGAGTGTTCCTCCTTCACTGAGTGACTTGGCCCAGACCCCTCTGCAAGGAAGCCTGGGGTCCCCCAGCAAAACCCCTTCTAGGCATTTCCTCTTGTTTTGCAGATGAGGAAACTGAAGCACAGAGCTGGACAGTGACTCAGACACCAGGTGAACATTGGCCTCTGGGTGGCAAGGTTGGGACTCATAGGGACACCAATGTCAGCTGTGCCACCATGGTGAGGGGTGAGCTCTCCATCCCAGGAGTGTACATGAGACTGGGCCTGTTATGGAGGGATTCAAGAGCTCCTGAGGGGACACTTCAAAGACCCTGACCCATGTGGCCAATCACGGTCCATCTCTCATCAAACCCTTCTCCCACAGGAGCTGTCCAGTGTGGAGTTAAGTGCTCAGGTCTGGATTCAGCTGGCCCAGGGTACAAATCTAGTCACTTCCTAGCTGTGTGACCCTGGCAAGTGGTTTCCTCTTGGGGAAGGAGGAGGCTGCTCAGTTTTCCCACCTGTGGAATGTCCTGGAGCTTTTCCACCCAAGCAGTGACTCATCTAATACGCAGCCCCTGCCAGTGAACTCCTATTCATGCTTAAAAACCCCAACTCTCATGCCCTTCCTCTAGTCTGGGTTCCCCCAGCCCCTATCCCTCCATCTAGTGTAGCTCTGACCCCCTGGACTGAGGACTGCTTAGAGAGTCACTTGGGTATGGGGTGGGGGTGGCAGGGAGGAATGGGAGGATGATCCCACCAGGCCTTGGGCTGGATCATTGCAGGGACTCTGGGGCTTTTAGTTCCTCCTCCAAGGGGAGGAGAGTTGGAATTTCCCCTCCTCAGGCCCAAGGTGGCCATGACTTTGCAGCTCAAACTTGCCTCTCTCTTCAAACAGGCACTGGATAGGAGCCTGCAGGGGTCTCCACAGAGGTCATCAGGATGTCATATTTTGGAGAACATTTTTGGGTAAAACTGACTCTTATTTTGGAGGGGGTTCCTGGAAGGGCTGTGGGGGTTTTATGGAGATGGGGGATCTAGTAGATTCAGCAGAGTCTTGGGCAAGTGGAGGGTCTACAGGGGTAGAAGTTAAAGTGGGAAGAGTCAGGCTGGGTTTGAATGTACACCCCCAGACTTCGTGGGCCTTTTGAGCTTGGGCAAGTTCACAGTTTGAACAACAGGCAGATTGAGACCCAGGGCAGGAATCTTTTACCTTAAGTGGCCCAATAAGAAAGTGCAGAGTTAGGACCCAATCCCAGGGCCAGACTGAACTTCAGGATCCAGAGTCATTCCAGGCAGGGAATTTCCATGTCTTTCCCATCCTGGAGAGTTGGGGGGTTTTCTTGATCTGACCTCTAGAGGCCCCCTAACCCCTTGGCTGTATGCAGTGAGGACCACATACGATGACCCAAGAGGGCTGAGTAAGCAGACTTGTTTACACTCATTCATTCCCTTCCTCCCTGCCACCCCCACCCCATACCCAAGCAACTCTCGGAGACACTGGGGTCCCCAAGAGGCTCCATCCCAGCTCTGACCCCATGGAGCTCCCAGTCTGGGGGACACAGAGTCAGCCGGACACCTCCAGACCTGCAGGGTCAGGGCTGAACCCAGCCTTGCAACCAGAGGGGAAGCCAGGACATAGAGCCATGCTTGCTGTGGTCTTTAAAGGCTGAGATTTTCCAGGATATAAGAAAGGCACTCCCGGCGAGGACTCCTCCTGCAAGGCCAGGCTAATGGGGAGCCACAGAGGGTATGTGAACAAGGGAGCTGAGGAAGGACCAGGCAGAAAAAGTCCCTTCCGCAGTTGTGAGCCTGGAGCTTGGAGAGGGAGCCCGTTGCTAGGCAAGTGGTTGCCCCTGGCAACAGGCCGCTCCCTCCCCAGCTGGGGCTCTTCTTATTGGCACTTGTTTTCTTAAAGGGGCCACACCTCCTTGCCACCTGCGCGGGGAGGGCAGAAGGAGGGCAGTTGGAAAGGCCGACCTCTGTCTTCTCCCGAAGGGTCAGGTTCCTTGGATTTGTCTTTGAATGACTGTATGACCCCAGCAAGGGGCTGCCTCTCTCTGAGCCACTGTTGACATCCCTGTATAAGGGGTTGACGTTTGAGGATCAGTTGTCACCCACATTTTGGAACCCTGACAGCAGCACCTACACTTTAAACTTTAAATCCTTTTTAATTGCATGAGGTATGCAAGCTCGCTGCAGAAAATTCAGATCAGCAGAGGAAATAGAAGCCACCCCCGTTGCACACCCCTTACCTAAAGATACCCTGATAGAGAGTAGATAAGAGCTTGAGCCTGGGATTTGATTTGGTTTCTGCTAGAAACCCTTGGGCAGCTTAGTTTTTGTCTCCAAGCCTCAGTTTTCCCATCCAGGAAAGGGGGATGAAATTCCTGTATCCCCAGGACTTAGGGGGTGCCCTTGGGATAGCTGTCCCTTGCAATGTTTCTTTTAATCAATTGTTTGTATTAGTGGCTCTTTACTGGGTGACACTGAGACCCTAGCTGTCCTGAAGGAGGCTCCAATCAGGGGAGATCAAGCCAGACAGGGATGCCCCAGTCCCACTGGGCCACGGCAGGGCCAGAGGCACGGAGGGCACTAGGGAGCCATGGAGGAAGTGTGAGCAGGAGAGGGATATAGTTAGGCTGTGTTTGGAAGATCCTTCTGGGGCTGGCATGGGGTCAAGATTGGACTCCAGAGGTTCTGACAGGAGACACAGGCCTGAAACAGACCCTCCTAGGACCTCCGGATGCCAGCCCAGTCTGAGGGAGGCAGATACTGCTGGGGGCTTTGCCAAGTCTGGGAAACAGGCCAGCAGTTGGCTCTGAGTCAGCCCCAGATGTTGGCCTGGGCGGCAGTGCCTGGTGCAGCCTCACCCAGGGATCCCCTGGCAGGGCAGGCGGAGCAGGCAGGGGGCTGCTGGGCTCTAGGCACTGTGCAGGGGGCCCTGAGTTCACCAGCATACCAGCCTCATCTCACCAAGACCATTAAGAGGTGTGTGCTACTGTTGTCTCCATTTGTAGGTCAAGGAAACTGAGGGCCAAAGAGGGGAGGTCACTGGCCCAAAGTGACCCAGTGCATAAAAGGAGGATTTGACACTTGAAACTTCAAAGTATGAGTCCAGCCATGAGAACATAAAACATTATATTCCAGAAGAGCAAGAGGAAACAAGAGTGACTTTTCAGGGCAGTGGGTGTCTGAGGAGAGCCTGAGAAGGTTCCTGAAGGAGGTGGGCCTGGCAGTGAGCCTTGGAAGGATGGGTGGAAGGAGATATATAGGCTGGTGAGCCAGGTGGTAGGAGTGGCCCAGGCCAAGGTGCAGTGGAGGTAAGGCACAGCACGTCTTTGCACCACCTGCCATTTTGCTGATGAGGCCAAGAGAGAGCTGAGAGATGAAGTTGGAAAGGCAATTCCAGGCTAAGGGTTTTGGACGTTAGCTGGTAGGCAATAAGGAGTGACTGATGATTATACAATGAGAGTGACTGTTGGAAGATTTGAGATTTGAGCTTGAGCTGTCCTGGGTCTGCCCCAGTCTCAGCCTCAGTTTTCCCATTTGTGTGGCAAGAAGGATCATCTGGTAGTGACTTCTGGCTTTAGCTTTTAGGCTTGCAAGTAACTGAGGAGGGGAACCCCACAGGTTTGGGGGTGGCTGGAGGAAGCCACCATTTCCAGAAGGCCTGCTGAGTGCTGCCAAAGGCATTGGTTCAGTGATCCATGTTGGGAATTAAATAACATCAGATCTCGCCACAAGCCACTTCTTTTAGTCCTGATTACAAGGCCCTATTTGGTGCTCCGTGTCTCCAGTTCCCTTGGACCCCCAGCTAGTCTCCCTTTTTAATGGACAGCTTAGTGTTCAGACACGATTCCCTTCACGTACAACAGGATCCAACCAGCTTTAAAACATCGTTGCCTTATTATTTTCCCATTCCCTTCATTATGGCGTGGGATTTTGTTTGTCCATTTATAATAGAGGTTTTGTGTGAGGCACCAGGGTAGAGGCTCTGTTCCCACCAGCACTAGGTAACAGCAGAATAACTCATTTGTTCATTTGTTAAACAAACTCAAATACCCTTTCTGGGCCCCACCCTGAACTGGACATCGCTGCATCCTGAGAGAGGGGTCAGACCCAGACCCTCCTCTGGGCATCTCAGGGAGTTTCCATGTTGAAGACAACAGAAACCACGTTACAGTGATTTAACCAACAGGGGTTATAATGGCTAGCAAAGGCAAAATATTGTGGGAGTAATGCAGCTTCAGGTTTGGCTTGATCCAGTAACTTTACTTAACACATTTTTTTGGACCCTTTCAGATGCAACGTCTTTACAAAGTTCATGGTTTCCATTTGGCTTCCAGTATCTCCTGTACCTGTATAAATTCCTCATTTATGGAAATACACACAATAAAACAGATGGGAAGAGACTGATTGAGACAGAAACAGAGGCAGAGAGATGCAAAGAAACAGAGAGAAAGAGATACAAAGACAGAAAGATGGAGACAGGAAGACACAACAAGCAGAATGAGAAAATCTTTCCCTCAACTATGGAACGAAAGTCCCAGGCTTCTCTCTGATTGGGCCAACTTAAGGCCCATGAACCAATCCTTGTGACCAGGGGGGAAACGCAGCAGACTGATTGGCTAAGGCCTCACCCAAACCCTGGGGATAGATTTCTGTTGATTGGCTTCCTTTGTCCACGCCCCTGTTGCTAGGCAACCTTGACATCATCTCCATCCCCTTTCTCAATCTCCACCCCCATCCCCTGCAGGGTGAGAAAAACCATGGTTTTGAGGTTCTGTATCACAGCGTGAAGCAGGGACCCATCTCAACCAAGGAGCTGGCAGACTTCATCCGGGAGAGGTGAGGCCCCCACACCCTATGACCATGCCCTGCAGTCCGCGCAGCCACCCCCACTTCAGGCCCCACCATCTCTCTCCTCTCCCCCTGCGCTTCCCTCCACTGCCCAGTAAGGATCCAGATCCCTGTGGGCGCCAGGAAGGGCTTGAAGGCCCTGGAAACCTGCAGTGTGAGGCACGGTTAACCCCACGCGCCCTTCATCAACAACAATCCCCAGGTTTCTAATGCCTCCTTCTAAAGAGATGATAATATGACCTACTTAGAGGAGACATTTTTGAAAACGCAAACTCGTGTCCTGTGTACAATAAAACACATATTCGATGAAATAATCTACATTTCACCATATAAATGCTCCACCATCCATATCCCAGGAAACATAATAAACTCGAATTGTAAAGTAGCCTTCTGCTCCCCAGCTACTCAGCAGGTGAACACTTGTTTAATCTAGGCAGAGAGTCCAAATGATTATAACCAGGTGTTTCTCTTTGTGGCTGTCCAGAGGGACCATCTGAGCTGCACAAGACAGGGACCACTATTTATTTTGTGGGCCTTCAGCACCTAGACCCATCCATTAATGTGGCACCAAATGGGTGCCTCTATCAAAAAATACCTTCCATGTCCTCCCCAAATAATTGGTTTTAACTGGGCACATTGCTGCCCCAAACAAAATTAATGTTCTATTAAGTCAAAAACTGTGAGTGGATATTAGGTAGGCATTTAGCAGAGTCTGTCCAGAGGGGAAAAGGGCATAAGAGTTTGCTCCTGCGATTCAATGAAGCAAACTACAGAAAGCATGTAGAGTGTGTGCTCAGAAATGTTTTACCTACTGTTCTACTGCTATTGCTGCTAGTAAAATATATTACTTAAGGATAAAAACCTCTCTTAGGAATTTCCAAAATGCCTCCCCCATAGCAAGGGACTATCCTTGAAGCTACTGTCCAGATGTTTAAGGTTGGGCAACTGAGGCCTAGGGGAGTGGAGTCTCTCTCAAGGGTGCTCAGGACATTCCCCATATTTTCCCTGACCTCCTACCCAGGGCCACCATCGAGGAGACCTACTCAAAGGCGATGGCGAAACTTTCCAAGCTGGCCAGCAATGGGACCCCTGTGGGGTGAGTGAGCCATGGGTGGGGTAGGAATCACCAAGGTCGCAGGGCCTTGGGGGCATCGGGAGCCTACCCTTGGGTGGACACGTGACATGTAGAACAGAGTTGTCCCCCTATTTATGTGGCTAATTGAACAGAGGAATATATATATCATTCATTCACCCACTAGTTCATTCATTCATTCAACAAACATTTACTGAGCACATACTATGCCATCCTGGGCACCAGCGACTGAGTGGCAATCAAGACAGATAAAATCCCCAGTTACCTCCATGCCATGTACATCCGGGATATGTGACAACCATTAATGGATGTCACACACAAACATAAACAAAATCCTTCACTGGGGTGAAAAGTGCTAGAAAAGAAATGAAACAGGAGTGTGAGAGGTCAGGTGCTTCCTCTGGGGTGGGCTCTGGTTTCCTTAGCTCCAGTTCTGTGAGCTGAGATCTTAATGTGGAAGAGCCAGCCCTGGGAGTGTCAGGGAACAGAGACCTGGACAGGAGGCACAGCCAGTGCAAAGGCCCTGAGGGAGCAATGCATTCTGCATGTTCAAGGAAGAGCAACAAGGCTGGCAAGGCTGCAGAGGCTGGGCAAGGTGGAGATGGGATGCAAGGGAAGGAAGAGGGGACAGGACCACAGGGGCCCAACACACAGGTGACTTCTTTTAAACTGGGATGTGATGTGGTCCCAACTGCCATTTGCAAACTTCCCTGTGGCTGCCGTGGGGCAAAGGTCTTGCGTATGGTGATGGAGGAATTAGATGCAGGCCCTGTGCATTTTGTTGGGGCAGGTTGACTCTTGGCTGCCCTTCAGTGTGAGGCAGGGCCTGGCTCTAAATTCCAGTTCTGAGGTTCATTTGCTGAGGGGCCTTGGCTGAGTTATAGAGCCCCCTGTGCCTCAGTTTCTATCTGTCACAGACCCTCCTCGCACAGTGGCAGTGGGGATAAAATAAGCTAATACATATTCATGCTTAGCAGGGCCCATTGCGCAGGAGGTGCCTGAGCCAATGCCAGCTGTGTTCTCTGAGGGTACCTCTGGGGGGTTGGGCCTGCTGGACCTTGGGTATGAGCCCACCTCTTCCCAGGACCTTCGCCCCACTCTGGGAGGTCTTCCGTGTCTCTTCCGACAAGTTGGCACTCTGCCACCTAGAGCTGACTCGGAAGCTACAGGACCTCATCAAGGATGTGCTGCGCTACAGTGAGGAGCAGCTCAAGATGCACAAAAAGGTGTGTGCCAGCAGGCACTGCCCGGGCCGGTGGGTGGGGGTCACCAGTGGCCAGAAGGATGCTTCAAGCTTCCAGCCCCTCATGTGTGTCTCTGAGAATTCTGTTACTTCCACAACATCAAACCCAGACTCCCACAAACCCAAGCATTTTGCAGGTCAAATTGCAGACTCCCAAAATTCTAGACCAGGAGCTGCAAACTATGGCCTGCACGCCAGATCTAGCCCACCACCTGTTTTGGTACAGCTTGCAAGCTAAAAATGGCTTTTTACATTTTTTAATGGTAGGGGATAAAAATCAAAAGAATATTTTGTGATATATGAAAATTATATGAGACTCAGATTTCAGTGTCAGTAAATAAAGTTTTATCGGTGCATAGCCACACCCATTCATGTACATATTGTCTGTGGCTGTTTTCAAGCTGCAAGACATGTTGAGTGTTCGTAACAAGCCAAACACATTTACTATCTGTCCTTTTACAGGATAAGTTTGTCGGCCCCTGGTCTAGAGCATTAGAAGTTACAGGTCTTGTTATTTGACATTTCTAGACTCCTAACAAACCTAGAACCTTGGAAAATTCAAACCTTAGATTCTCAAGATCCCCAAATATTCAAAGCTCATGATTCTAGAGTCATAGATGCTTTGCATTTACAGAGCTCTTTTAAATTGGCAGTTTTAAAGCTCCCAAAATACTGTGCACTTAAAAATAACTAAGATGGACAATTTTATGTTATGTGTATTTTGTCACAATTCTTAAAAAATGGAGGGGGGCAAGGAAATTCTTTGTGGGCTGTTATGGGACAGTCTTGGGAATGAATCATTAAGTGGAAAAAACAACAGTTAAACAACATGGGCAGCTGCCACTTGTCATTAAAAATGGGCTAGAACAAGCACATTTGTTTATCCATGTGTTAGTATTTCTGGAAATGTATGGGTAATAATGAGGAACTCCTAAGCCAAGCCCTTGGAGTCTGAGGGAGGTTTTTTTCCTGAGCTCACCCCTTAAAACTTGTGAAATGTGAATTATGTGTGAGTATTACCTATATAAAAAGTTAGAATTGTTGAGATTAATAGAGTATTAGAAGAAGGAGACTCAGAAAAAAAACCCAAAAAGGCCTGGAATCCCACAGAAAGTTGGGGAACCTGAGAGGTTTACAGCGTACCCCAAGGGGCTGCTCAAGCGCGGCTCCCCAGTTGGGGCTTCAGATGGCACTCACAGTGCCCCTTCCCCCACCCCCATGCAGTGCAAAGAGGAAGCAGTGGGCACCACGGATGCTGTGCAAGTCCTTGCGGGTGTCAGCCAGCTCCTGCCCAAGTCCCGCGAAAACTACCTGAGCCGCTGCATGGACCAGGAGCGGCTGAGGAAGGAAAGCACCAGCCAGAAGGAGCTGGACAAGGTGGGCCCGTGGCTGCCGGTCCCCAGCCACCCCAGCCCATGCAGGTCTGAGACATTTGCCACGGGGCGGAGGGGCTGCCTGACGGGAAAGTAAAATGTCATTGAACCTCCATGTGGCACCCCAACAAGTCTTCCTGCCCTGTAATGGGACTGGGAGGAGGGGGAAGTGCCCTGAGTCTCCCCCTCCCAACCCTGTCTCCTACCTGTGCCTCCTAGGCAGAGACCAAGACCAAGAAGGCAGCAGAGAGCCTGCGGCGCTTGGTGGAAAAGTACAACTCTGCTCGCGCGGACTTTGAGCAGAAGATGCTGGACTCAGCCCTGGTAGGAACCAGGGTTTCTAACTCGGAGTACTACGCATTCCTTGGCCCAGGATGCTAGGGGGCTCAGAAGTCCAGAACTTCCCAAACCTTTGGCCCCCAGAAGCCTTAGGGTCACAGGCTTCAATCTGTAGAATTCTAGAGCCAGTTTGCTATTGTTATTGTTGATATTATTTCAAAAGTCAAATCATTTTTGTGGCTTAGCTTCCCCTTCTGTAAAATGGGGACAGTAATAGTGCCTCTCTCACAGAGTTGTTGTGAAGATGAAATAAGTCACTGTATGTGCAGTGTGCAGATTAGTACCAGCCCCATAGTAACCACTCTATAAATCGTTACTATTATTAATATCATTATTTCTGTTATTATTGATGAGGTTTTTGAACAAGACAGGTCTAGCCTCCATTCTTCACCAGCTATGTGAACTTTTACAAGGCACTGCACATCTCTGGGTCTGTGTCCTCCAAAAGGCTGACTGGAAGCTCAGCATCAGGAATCAGAATTTTTGTTCTCTGATTTTGCATGTCATAGAAACCTTCATTCCAACTAAGAAGATTTATAGGCTCATGGAACTGAAAAGTTAGAGGGGAATGCTTCAGGCACGGCTGGATCCAAGTGCTCAACTGGTGTTGGCAGGAAGTTGTTCCTCTCTGCTTCTCAAGTCTATTTTCTTGCTGTGGGCTTCATTCCCAAGTAGACATGCTCTTGTGTGTGTGTGTGTGTGTGTGTGTGTGTGTGTGTGTGTGTGCGCTTCATTCCCAAGTAGACATGCTCGTGTGTGTGTGTGTGTGTGTGTGTGTGTGTGTGTATGCAGCAAAATGGCCATCAGCAGCCCCCATATGTATCCCACCAACTCATTGACTCAGGGTATGAATATGTCTCTTTCCCTGTAGTTACAGCAGAAGTCTCAGAGCAGATTCTCATTGGCTTTTCCCCCAACCAATCACTGAGGCCAGGGGGTTGGAACATTCTTATTGGTCAGGCTGGGTCAAATGGCCACTCCTTGTGGTCTCCACCTGCCCTTTTGCCCCTCGCCTTCTGCCTCAGCGCTTCCAAGCCATGGAGGAGAGCCATCTGCAGCACATGAAGGCCCTGCTGGCCTCCTACGCCCACTCGGTGGAGGACACCCATGTGCAGATTGGGCAGGTAAGTGGGGCTGGGGCTAGGGAACAAGGCAGGGGGTGCTGGGCAAGAGGGCCCTGGCCCTACCCAGTTACACAGTCCATCCGTCTGGCCCAGGTGCATGAGGAGTTTAAACAGAATATAGAGAACGTCAGCGTGGAGATGCTGCTGAGGAAATTTGTAGAGAGCAAAGGCACAGGCCGGGAGAAGCCTGGTGAGTCGGCACATCTGCTGGGGTTAGGCTGTGGGGCCCCAGCTGCAGGGAAAGAAGAGGACTCAAGAGGCAGGAGGAGGCTGAGCCTCCCTGTGCCCTGGTTTCCTCACTGGAAACGTGCACTGATGACAAACCTCACTCCACAGCCTATACAGGAAGAGGATTTGAGGCCTGGTCTTATATGTAAATCTCTTACAACCAGATACCATTGACTGGGGCCTTCAGTGCCAGGCTCAGCTCTTCAGATGTTACCCTGAAGGCCCAAGGGAGCCACTGAGGGCTGTTGAGCAAAAGACCAATTTGAAAATGTCCAAATGCAGAATCAGCGAAGAGTTGAGAGCAAAAGTTTGGGGGTCAGATCTGGGTCTGTGTCTTTTCATCATTGCTTGCTGTGTGACCTTGGACAATGTCTTGACTTCACTGAGCCTCAGTTTCCTCATCTGGAAAGCAGTGATGAATAATCCCCACCTAATGGTGTTTTGAATATTCAGTCATTTGATGCAGGTAGAGGGCAAAGTGTGTGCCTGGCATACAGTAGGTACTCAATGAATGCATAGTTTACATCCCCAAGTCTAGTCAGTCGCTAAGGTCTGTCCTTTTTCCCTTCTGTCTCTATAGCTCAGGCCACCTCTCTTTGTGTGGGCCCCCACTTTTGCCCCTCACTGGCCGCAGATCTGTCACACCCTGCTCCTGCTCACATACCTTGCATGGCTCCCTGTCACACTTGGGAGAGAGTCCCCGCTGCTCATCCTGACACTTGAGACCTAGCTTACTGCAGACTCATGGCCCTTTCTCTAACCCACCCAAGTCCCACCCAGAAATGCTGGAAGTAGGAGGAGTAACTCAGACATCACCCTTTCCAGCCTATCCTAGGGTGGCAACCACCCCAACCATTCCAGAAATCTCAGCCTATCCCGTCATGACCATCTCTGGGGCTGAGTTAGCATCTTGGCTCATGCCCTGGACCCTGACTGGCCTTGAGCTATTGTGTGACGCAGATGCTATTGTGTGGCCAAGGGTGTACTGGTACCCCTGTCAGACCCAGTCTCCCCAGTGGACTGAGTTTCTCAATCTCTTCCATCTCAGGGCCTTTGGACTTTGAGGCATACAGTGCAGCTGCCCTGCAGGAAGGCAAGTACGTCTGGGCCTGGATGCCCAGCCTGGACCATGGGGCAAGGGAGGCAGATCTGAATGGAAAGGGGGCACCCTCAGGGCTCAGTTCTGCCCCCCTTATCTGTTTTCAGCAATGAAACGTTTGCGGGGAGCCAAGGCCTTTCGCCTCCCGGGACTGAGCCGGCGGGAGCGGGAGCCGCCTGCCACTGTGTGAGGAAGCACCCCTGCCCACCCCTGGCCCAAGCTACCCCAAGATCCATTCCCCTGCCCAGGATATCCCAGAAGTCGTCTGCTTAGAGTAGCCCATTCCCTCTACCCAGGCTAGACCACAAGTGCCTCTGTCCCAGGCTAGCTCAGTATTACCACTGCCTAAGCTAGTCTAGATTCTTTTGCCAAGGTTGGACATGGTCTGCCTGTCCCGACTCACCCAGGGTCACCCCTACCCAGGCTGGCCCAGGATTTCTCCCTTTGTCAAGGCTAGCCCTGCTATTGTGACACCTGATCAAGCCCAGTAATTCCTACTTTGCGAGGACAAGCCCAAGAGTCTCCCCATCCAAACTAGTACCGAATTCTTCCTCCTGCCCATGTTTCCCCAGGCTAATCCAGGATTAACTCTGCTCAGGCTAGCCCGGGATTCTTCTCTTTGCCCCTTTATTTCCCTGATGAGGCTAGCCCCTACATTTCCTACCGTCTCAGGTCAGCTTTTCAGATTAGCTCCCGGGTTCCTCCCCTCCCAAGCTGTTTGACACCCCCAGCTCAGCAAACTCCAAATTCACTTCCTGGCCCCATGCAAGGCCCAAGCGCCCACTGCCTGCAGGGCTAGCTCAAGACAATATTGCGGCCCAAGGGCCACCCCCAGGAGCCATGTCCAATGTTAGGAGCTGAGGAGGGGGCAAGATGAGCTAGGGAAGCTGACACTAACATCTCTTTCTCCATTCCCAGAGGTTCCCTGGAGCCTGATTCAGTGGTGAGTGCCGTGGGAGGGGTCAGGCCAGGCTGCAGGTGGGAGGGGTTCAATCCCACCTTGACCCCCAAGCCTGGAAGCCAAGCCTGGAGCTCAAGGGCCTAGAGGTGGCACAGCTTCGGGACCAAGTTCAAATCCCACCTTGGCTGCAAACGCCTGCGGACCATGGGGGGAGGCCTGATGTCCTTAGCCTCAGTTTGACCTCACCCCTTGCCCCCTCAGGAGGGGCAGTGGCACGTTCTTTTCCCTCAAGAATTTGTCTACCCACTGTGGGAAAATCATTATTGCCTTTGGGGCTTTTAGGTCTGAGTCAGGGCCCAGAGATGGGAGAGGGGCATGGCATGGTTGATGGGAGGTTTGGTTCGGGGGGGCCTGACTTACCTCTTGTCCCCCCAGACATGTCCAGAGGTGGATGAAGAAGGTTTCACTGTCCAACCTGATGCGACCCAGAACAATATCCTCCTGGCACCCTCTGGGGGCACTTGTTGGCACAGCAAGGACAAAGCTCTGTCCACAGTGATTCATTCACTATTAGCAAGCCCTCTCTGTGCACACTGCAGGGCGGGGGGAGGGAGGCGTGTCACGAAACCTACCAGTATGGATGAATTAGATTCAAATTCAGTCTTCTGCTATGTGGGGTCAGGGCTAAGTAAGAGGGAGAGAGCGGGGCTGGGTGACCCCAGAGGGGAGGCAAGGGGGCTCCCTGGAGGAGGGGCATCAGTGATGGGGTTTAGCAGCTGAATAGAAGTTGCTAGTTAGGCTAGAGCATGTTTGTGCAAAGAGTTGGGGGGCAGGTGGCAAAAACGTGTCAAGGCCAGGGTGACAAGTGGTGAGAGATGGAATTTTACAGGCCCGCAAACGGTTTGAGCAGGAAGGGACAGATTTGAGGGCTGACTGGAGGGAGACCCTGTGTTGGGATCTGCTTGGCCCCTTAACCCAGGTGCACATACAGCAGAGCCCTCCCACTTCTCATCCAGTGACTCTGACTTTGACGATGAGGAGCCCCGCAAGTTCCATGTGCACATCAAGCCCGCCGCAGCCCGCGCCCCAACCTACAGCCCCGAGGCTGCTGCCGCGCAGCTCAGAGCCACGGCTGGCAGCCTCATCCTCCCTCCTGGCCCAGGGGTGAGGTGTGGGACAGCTGCTCCCGATGCGGCTGGTGGGGATGGCTGGCTGTCCACGACCTAATGGCTCCCCCTTTGTCCACAGGGCACCATGAAACGCCATTCTTCACGTGAGTAGCCTGAGGGGTGGGCATGTGGAAGAGAGGCTGGGCCTGGAATGTGGGTGTGGGTTCAAATCCCAGCTCTGCTGTGTGATTCGGGGCAAACTGCTTTGACCCTCTGTCTCTCAGAGACCACTCTGACCCTCAGTCCCCTCTTCTGTAACATTATACTGTCATGAGAATTAATTGAGAGCTGAAAGGGGTAGCTGGGGCCAGGAAAGAAGCCAAGGCCTAGAGATAAGTTGGCTCAAGTTTAAATCCCTTTGCCTGTTTTGCTGATCACCGTGGGCAGTGGGCTGGACAGTCTCCTGGTTTGTGGAGTGGGGAGCCCTGCAGGCAGGGCAATAGGAAGACTAAGGGAGGTGCATCTCTCATAGGGGATGCTGCTGGGAAGCCACAGAGACCTCGATCTGCCCCGAGGGCCAGCAGGTGGGTTTCACCAGCGTGGGACATTGGGCCAACATAAGTGGGCAGGTGGGGGCTATCCCTGCCTCCTCTCTCCTCCCCTGCTGCCTCCCCTTCTCAACCTGGCAGGAGGTTGAGGGCTTGCTATTTTTCAGTGACCACTTATGCATTTGATGAACATTTGTTGAGTGCCTGCGGTGTACTCGTGTTAGTCTGGGTTCTCTGGGGTTAGTCTGGGGATGTATGATCAAGATAGGTCCCCCTTCTTAGAGTCACATCCAATTGGCCAGATTTTAAGAATAACAAGTAAGTGAGAGCATATTCTATACTTCCAAGTTCTAAGAAGAAACTAAATGATGAAAGATAGGAGTGGGTAACTGTAGTTGGGGTAGCAGTGGAGGGCCTCTGCTGGTGGCGGGGCGGGGTGGGACTTTGGGCTGAGTCCTGAATAGGAGAAGGAGGTGACTACAGGGTTTGCTGGGAGCTCAAGACCAAGAACAGCATGTGCAAAGGCCCTGAAGTGAGAGGAGGCATGGAAGCAATAGAAACCACCAGTTTTGTCCACTCGGTCCCCAGCTGTACAGAGAAGCTGCAATCCGATGAGCAGGTGTCCAAGAACTTATTTGGGCCGCCCCTAGAGTCTGCCTTTGACCACGAAGATTTTACAGGTGATGGGCGTAGGAACTTCAGATGCATGGGCGGGGCCAGCAGAAGAATGGGTGGGGCCATTGCAAGGGTAGGCCGGAGAGGCTGGAGGGAGCTTGTGAGGTCCTTTGGGGGTCAGTGTGAGGGCGCGCGGGGCCGGGAGAAGGTGGGGCCTTTGCGGGAGTGAGGGTAGTAACAGGTGGATGGGCGGGGCAGCGTGGAAGGGAGGGGCAGTGACCAGAGCTGTGGCCTGCTGGGGTGGGCAAGACTTTGAATGGGGGTGGACCCTTTCCTGACATGGGCGCGGCCTGCAGGGGAATGGACAGGACTCCGAGTGGGTGGGGTCTGGAGCTGACCGCCCCCTCCCTTCCCCAGGCTCCAGCAGCTTCGGCTTCACCTCCAGCCCCTCGCCGTTCTCCTCCTCCTCGCCTGAGAACGTGGAGGACTCCGGCCTGGACTCGCCGTCCCACGCGGCACCCGGGCCCTCCCCGGATTCCTGGGTCCCCCGTTCGGGCACCCCGCAGAGCCCACTTAGCTGTAGGGCGCCGCCCCCCGAGTCGATAGGAACACGGCTCCTACCACTGTCGGACTCAGCACAGCCTCTGGCCCCATCCCCGGGCCCCTGGGGTCTGGAGGCCGTGGCTGGAGGAGGTGAGTCCAGCGGCCCCGGTTCTGAGTTATCGGAGCCCCGGGGGTAGGACTGAGCGCCTGTTGTGGCCAGACCCTGAACGGGGTGATGGGGACACAGCTGAGGCCGAGGTGGTCAGAAACCCCCGAGCGTGCAGGGACAGTAATAATACGGGTATTTAATAAGGCAGGTGGTGACAGGTGCCTGACGAAGGCTCAGAAGGGTGGGGCTTCCCTGGAGGCCACATCTGAGCTGAGGTTTGACGGTGAGAACAGAGCCGTAGGGACAAGGCGGAAGGGTGTTCCCAGCAGAGGGCGCAGTGGGGCAGAGGGAGGTCCCCCAGCGAGAGGGGCGGGCCCAGGGCGGAGCTGGGACATGGCTGGAGGTACGACGGGGCAGAGGAGTCCTAGGCTTGGGGTGGAGGGCCTCCCGGGGACCGTGAGTCAGGGAGTGTGGGCCGGGCCACAGGCAGTCCCCAGCAATGGTGACGGTGCTTGGCAGCACCCTTGGTTGGAGAAGGAGCCTGGTTGGAGCTGGCCCGTGGGAGCACCAGGGGAATGAGTGGAGCTGCCAAATGCAGATGACTCGAGTTGTCTATCTGAGCTTCACTGTAGAACTTGGGCTCTCAACCAGGCCAGTTTGGCATTTGGCAGTGTCACCACTGGGGGTGGGTGGGTACTACTGGCATCTAGTGGGTGGAGACCGGGATGCTGGTTGACACCCTGCAGAGTACAGGGCATTCTCTCCACCCCCTCAGAGAATGATCCAGCCCTAGACATACATCACTGGTACCTTTGAGAAACCCTGGGGGAGGGGGTAGAGGGTGTAAGTAAGTGGTGGGGAGGTGAGCAAGCAAGAATTTGTAGATGGAGCAGAGCAAGGGAAGCCGGAGAGCTAGGGGAACCTGGGTGTTAGGTTATGGGTTAACTTTAAAGAGTGAGACTCAGACACAGACCAGGGTAGGAGGTTACCCTCAGACTCTCAGAAAGGATGATGGTCATGGAATTTCCAAAACCAGATTAAAACCCTCTGTCAAATTCCCCTATAGGGTGCCTGCCTCCTGAGCATCCAGCCCTTGCTTGTATACCCCCAGTGATAGGGAGCTCACTCCTTATCAGGTCACCAGTCTGGTGTGTGGGAGGCTCAGAGTTGTGAATAGTGTCTATAGTCCTGTCTGGCACCTTCTCTGCAGTTCCAAGACTTCAGACCCAAGGTGTCTCCCCAAAATAAGCCTGACTTCCCATTTTTGACTAAGTTGTTTCTCTGGGGAGGCCTGAGAGGCCCAGGGCAGCATCTCAGTCACGCCTATTCTCATGCTCTCCCCAGACCTGATGCCTGTAACTACTGACCTCACAGCCAGGGAGGGCCTGGCAGCTCCACCCCGGAGACCCCGCTCCAGGAAGGTGTCCTGCCCCCTCACACGCAGCAATGGAGATCTGGTAGGGTAAAGGCAGGGGCTGGGGTGTCACCTCTGGGGCAGCATCAAGGCCCTGCTCCTGGGGTCCTCACAGCCTGGTCTATCTTTCAGTCTCGTTCCCTGAGTCCTTCACCACTGGGGTCCTCGGCCCCCAGCACTATCCTAGAACGGCCCAGCTTCTCATCACAGACAGGACATGGTACGTGGGGGCAGCCCTGGGGCCCTCCCTGGGTCTCGGTTCCACCTTATCTAGTCTGGGTGGATGGATAAGTGGTCCAGTGGAGGTCCCGTTGGCAGAGGGGACGGTGTGAAGCCTGGGACCTGGGCTCACTCTGTCTGTCTGTCCCCCAATCCCTCCCCACTACCCCCAGGAGTCTCCCGGGGCCCAAGCCCTGTGGTCCTGGGCTCCCAGGATGCCCTGCCTGTGGCCACTGCCTTCACCGAATATGTCCACGCCTACTTCCGCAGCCACAGCCCCAGGTACACAGAGAAAGGGGATAGTTCAGGCTATGAAGGGGCAAACACGGCTCCCTGGGGTCTGTGCCTCTGGGTTCCAGCAGTGACAACCTTTAGGTATGTTTCATGACCTACTTTACCACAGAAGGGCCTTGAACACTGAGCTGAGCGATCAGGCACCAGTCCTGAGGGTGTTTGAGCAGGGCTAGGCACTGCTGTAGCCTCAGATTAGAGGAACTCTTGTGAGAACTTCCTGCGAGGCTACTGTGTGGGCATCAAAATAAAAGGAGCAAGACCAGAGGCTAGGCCCATGGAGGGGCAGGTTAAGGGCTAGTTGAGAGAGGCCCAAGGGTAATCTGGGGGCGGTGCCCAGCAGAAAACACCATAAGAACAAACTACAAAGAAAGGGGGCTATTACACCTTAAACCCAAGCTGAGGAGTTATAAAACGGATGTGTTGCTTTGAACCTCCTGCCTAGGGGAAAAGAGAACTAAGGTGTTTCTACCTCCTAACCCAGGGTGGATTCTTTCTGGCACCTGGATTGCTGTCCAGACAGGAACTCAAAGGGAGGAGGCTGGGGTCCGGGTGCTGGGAGTGGTCAGGGCCTGGCTGCTTCTGCGGAGCCGCCAGCTGCCGCGGAGCCGGGAGAGAGGGGAGGATGAGGTGCTGGACAGAGCCTGAACCAATGCCCAGTCCTCTGACCCCCATCCCAGCTGCCTGGCTCGAGTAACTGGGGAGCTGACCATGACCTTCCCCGCTGGCATTGTGCGTGTGTTCAGTGGAACCCCACCCCCGCCGGTCCTCAGCTTCCGCCTCTTGCACACGGCCCCCATTGAGCACTTCCAGCCCAATGCTGACCTGCTCTTCAGGTATTTATGGAGGATAGGGGCGGGGGCAGGAGGTCCCAGAGGTGGATGAGGGGGTTAGGGGCCCCCAGCTCTGAATTCCTGCCCTGCCTCTTGGGATTGTCTGTGTGGCCCTGAGAAGTTGCTGTCCCCGCTCTGAACCGCACTCTCCTTCCTTCCTCTGCTTCCCATTCCTCGTCCCCTGGGGGTCCTGCTTTGCTGGGCCCATGGTGAGCCAGGGAATCTACATCTTTAGAAAGCCCTGGGGTAGGTCGGATGCTCTGGGAGCTTGGAAGGCATCTCCCGAAGAGGGTTCGGGGTGCTTATTTCTGGTCCCTACAGTGACCCCTCCCAGAGCGACCCTGAGACCAAAGACTTCTGGCTCAACATGGCAGCGCTGACTGAGGCCCTGCAGCGCCAGGCAGAGCAGAATCCAGCGGCCTCCTACTACAATGTAGTGCTGTTACGATACCAGGTGGGCCACGGGGGCGGGGCGAGGTGAGGCGGGGGGCCATGGC